ATCTAACATTCCCCAGGAATGTCACATTCCCTCCACATAAGATTTTGAAGGGAATGTGATTCCCTTCAAAATCTTAGGTAATGTAAGATAACCTTGGTTATTTTAGTTTATTATATATATATATATATATATATATATATATATATATATATATATATATAATTATTTTTGTAATTATATATACTTTTATTTTTATTATGTTATGTTAGCATATAAAATAATTTTGTTTCTCAAGTTCAAGATTTTAGTTAATATTTTAAAATCATGTAATTATATATGATACCGTTATCTTATTTATTTATTTTAATTTTTAAATTTATTAAAATATATGAAAATATGTTAAGGATATTATAGTGTGTATAAAAGATAACCCTAAACCAAACATGATTATATTACATACCCCAATTTTAACCAAACACAAGAATCTAACGTTCCTAGCAATCTAACATTCCCTAAGGTAATCTGACATTCCGTGAACCAAACGACCCCTAAGTGTCAAGTGTAAAGTTGATTAACATATTCATCAAAATCACACACCTTGACTAGGATTATGTGATCTAATGGTACCCGGGTTGGACTTCCATTTGGAAGATTATAAGTTTGAGCCTCAGAGGCGTTATTGGTTCTTTGTGTTTCAGTAGGTTGAGAAAGTATATGAACAGATACTACAATGTAATAGAGCCATTAACTTCAAAAAAATCACACACCTTGAGAGCATTTGCTTAAAACATCGAAATCATAATAAATACAAATATAACACACACATACAATACATGATTTTTATACGGTGTCAATAGTAGGAGTATAACTCTAAATATTCTTAGTTATATTATGTACTATGAGCGCCAATGACTTGTGGTCTAGTGGCATGAAGTGGCTCTCCCAAATAGGAAGTCATGTGTTGCGGTATTGACTTTCTATGCTTCAATATGTTGAGAAAATAGCTATGAACAGATACTACATTGTAACAGAGTCAGTAATAAAAAAAGTTTTCATTATAACAAATAATATAGGAAAATCCTCTGCCACTACATACTCATAGTTAATCGGCTCAAATTGAAAATGCTAATAGACAACTCCTATAAGAATAAAACTTAGAATATTGTTATTACATATTTGTGTCTCTATATTAGTATCAATATCATTGTCTAAAACCAAAATGTTAATTCTATGATTATATCTAATACCATCTATATTATGATTTTGATTATATATATACATACACACATACACATAGAGTAATGTAATACAAGGTCCATCATTGTGCAAAACCAACATTTTCACATTCCTTAAGCAATCATTATTATATAGCTATTATTACTAAAGTTCTAAACTAATTGGATTCTTGTTTTTAGTTATTTATTATGAAGTTAAAAACCATTAGTTGTAATAATTTAATAACAAACTTATCTAAGTGTGTTCTTTTGACTCTTGTGTAAAAGGTTGAAAATTAAAATAAAATTGTGAAAGTTGGGTCCAAAGTAACTTTAAAAGGTTTCACATGAATGATGCTTGCCACGTAATCACAATCCACGAACAGCAATTGGATGATGATTATAGAAGAATGGGAAAAGTTGGGTGACCAAAAAGCAAAGTCAAAATGTTGAGGGGGCGAAAGCATAATATTGTGCGTGGAAAGGGGGTGTGTCGCAATCATAACGGGCGACCACGCGGAGAAAACAGCGCTTTTACTGTTTTGACCCCATGACGTCAAATCAGGTCATCCGTTAAGACCGACAGTGGGTTCGACCCGCTACCCGAAATCTACTTTTTCCCGTCTTTAAAAGCAATAAATTAAATATTCCGTATAATATATGGTCGAGTATATTAGTATATTGTATACACAGAAAATATTCTTTATAAATTGTATGCATTAATAGTGAATCACCGCCGTATCATGAATATAACTAGTAACTAGTAACTAGCTTTTATATGTGCAACGTGCTAAAAATACATATATATTAATACCTAATGTTAAAATTTAAAGTTACAAAATGCATCATATAATAGTGTTACAAGGCTCATAATAAGGTGAGAATATAAGTTGATGATATAAGTTGTAGTTCAATGTTATAACTTATAACTTTAATACTTTATAAGTTACCTAAGATATTACATTATGAGTTATAAAAATGTATGTTTCAATGGATTACGTGAAAAAAAAAAAAACGCGAAACAACGTTGTTTTTGGACCGTGGTGCACGCAATAACTACTGATGACGGTGCACTGGCGCACCGTAACCGCACCTGAACTTTTATATATATATATATATATATATATATATATATATATATATAACTAGGGTCCACCATCCTTGGTTACAGGACGACCAAGACCCCATGATACAAACAGAGATGCCAGTACAGTTACAGGATGCTAAGGTGGTGGGATTGATTGATCAACAAACACGGACTTGGGATCTTTCAATTTTAATTGATCTTTTTCATCCTAGTGATGTGGCAAATATTCTTAAAATACCAGTTTCTCCGGATTATGATGATACTTGGTATTGGCCTGGGGACCCGAGAGGAGTTTATTCTGTAAAGGGCGGATACAGATTAATAGTTGGTAATTATGGGAATGAGAATGGGACCTTTACAAAGTGGTTAACCTTGTGGAAACTCAAAATACCCCCAAAATGGAGAATGTTCCTATGGAGAGCCATTTGTGATATACTGCCTACCACTTCTAACTTGCTTATAAAGAGGGTAGAAGTAAACCCATATTGTGCCATGTGTGGATCATCTCAAGAGGACACTATGCATTCTTTAGTGTTATGTGAATTTGCAAAGAACATTTGGGACCGATCCAACCTTCCAATCCCCAATATTATAACGAATATTTTTCATATTTGGTTTGGTGAGCTCCTAAATGTTTTAGATTTTGATGGGATGTTATATGCAGCATCAATCCTCTACAATATTTGGAGAGCACGGAACGGGGCGGTTTGGAATGCTCTATTACCACGGCCACAATCTTTGTTGGCAGCAGCGAATTCGGCATTGCATGCATGGAGAAGGGCAAACCCGCCAGCAGTCCAAAACCACGTACCACTGCCTGCAACGCAATCTCAACATCTTGGCTCTCATGCGCCACTCGGACCTCACGGTATTGTACAGGAAGAGCCACCTCGGAGGCTATGTCGCATCGACGCGGGGTTTATACACAATACGGGCAAGGCTACGGTTGGGGCAATCCTCGTAGACATGAATGGAGGGTATGTCGCGGCCTTCAGTGCACCCCTCCCGGATTGTTTCTCACCACTTATGGCCGAGGCATTGGCATGCAAAGAGGCTTTGTCATGGTTAAAGGATCGAGGGGAACAGAACATCGAAATATATACAGATTGTTTAATGCTACAGCGTTATCTTACTACACCGTCTACTACGTTTCGCACTTACGTCGGCTATGCCATTGACGCCTGCAGAGCAGCTACAGCTTATTTTCAGTCTTGTTCTTTCCATTTTATTTCTAGACTAGACAATTTTATAGCTCATGCCTTAGCTACTTCAGCATATCAGCAATCGGCTGCTATGTACTGGGATCTTCTCCCACCAGACATTATTTCGACATATTTTTAATACAGCACCACATATATTTTCAAAAAAAATATATAACTAAGGTCCACAATACTCACGGTGGACCTTGATTCATGATATAATTTGCAATATAATCCGGCAAATTATTTTTTTTTTTGAAAGGAAAATATTTCAATAAAATCAAGCAATTAAATGTTCAATACAAGAAGGGATATTAGAAAACCAATTAAGATGACCAGTATGAGAACTAGCAGCTCTAGCCAACACGTGAGCAAGCTTATTCATTGATCGATTGATATATTGAATGGACACTGATTCAAAGTGTCGTTTAAGAGATCGGCAATACTTGAGAACGCAACCTGCATAAGAATGATCTGGTAAGCCATTATTCAGAAACTTGCATACCAACTGACAGTCTGATTTTAGAAGAATGTTATGCCAGCCTTGTTCAAGAGTCCAGGAAAGAGCTTCTTTAATAGCCAAAGCCTCTGCAAGATGAGGGTCTTTAAGACAACGAATTGGTCCACTTCTCGCTGCAATGAAACCACAATTGCTATCTCGAACTATTATGCCATAGAAACCATCTTGATTAACATAGCCATGCATCACCACGTCTGCCCCATGCAAAGGAAGATTCTGCCGGTCATTATAATAGCCTGTAGCCATACGGGTAATCTCATCCACATGCCACAACTTCCTATTCCAAACCCACTCATTCCTCCTTTTCCAAATACTCCAGCAAATAGCAATACAACGCAGCAGCTTACTATTGTCATATTGCTTGAATAAATCTCTATTAGCCAAAGAAACCAATGTAGGAAGGACGTTCCTAGCACATCGCCGGATGAAATTAATGAATTTTGGTGGAATCTTCAAACACCACAATTCTTTCCAAGCTGAGAAAGAAGAATTAAGGTGGTGGTTGTGTAGACCACGGTCCAAAATGACGTCGTTGAATTTTATGAGTTAGAATAATGTACATTATGAGTTGAAATAATATACTTTATGAGTTAGAATAATGTACATCATGTGGTAGAATAATGTACTTTATGTGTTCGAATAATGTACATTATGTGTTAGAGTAATGAAATTTTCGGAGTAAGATAATATACTTTGAGTTAGAATAATGTACATTATGAGTTATAAAAATGTATATTACAATGAGTTGCGTGAAAAAAAAAATTACGCGAAACGACGTTATTTTTAGACCGTAGTGCATACAATAACTATTGATATAATCCATTTTACTTCTCAAAAAAAAAAAAAAACTATTGATATAATCCTATGTGGGCTTGCAACTGTATGTTCTGTTGGGCTTATTCCTATAGCCCAGACGCCCTGGACCTTCACACTAAGAAGAAAGCCCAACTTCATCAAGTGAAATTACAAAAACACCCCTGAGTTTTATCTCGAATAACAAACCTACCTGCCCCCTTCATCCGCCACTTTCCTATAAGCGCCACTACAGACTATACAAAACTGAATTAACATTAACAACCGCCTTCTCCAATCATCTCAGCCGCCGGACAACAATGGGGAAGAGCAACGATTCTATTGAGAGAAGAAAGAACAAAAAGATCAGAAGGAAGCAGGACGAATCTTCCAAAGTTTCCACTCGAATCGCCTCCATCATCGCCGCCAAGAAGCGCCGCTTGACCGGCAAACGCCGCAAGTGTCAGGTAATATATATATTTTTTTTTAAATAAAAATATTTTTGAGGTTTGTTTCTCACTGGAGTTAGAATCTCTATTAGATTGTGAACATTATGCTAAAGTACTCTTTCATAGTTTCATCTCACTAGTTGGACTCAAATGTAGTAGCAGAATGCTATTTCAAACTCCAATCTTGTAACTAAATAGGTCGAATCTTTTACATATAAGCAATGGAAAACCGAAACAGGATATTCGCGTGCGCACACACGTGCATAATGAATGGATAATAGAAATGAGCACCTTTGAAGTAAATTGAATGTGGCACCAATTGAAGATGAGCATAGATAGAATATATCAAGATCACTTGGGCAGTTTTGCTTAGACACATCATCCATGGATGCCCTGGCTCATAGTAGAGCTAGGTGAACGTGTAGATGTTTCTAAGAAATACTTGCTAGTGCTGGGATTTAAATCTGAGCTTGTGCTAATGAGAGTTGGATGTGGAAATTGAATCTTACAGCATATTACAGCTATCTTGGGATTAAAGCTTAGATGAGGTGAGTTAGAATCTATGAGGGTATGACTTTACAAATTGCTTTCTCGATGATAAGGTGGATTCTTCTCTAATTCTCATAAGGTTTTCTTTGGCTTGAGGAGTGACTAGGTTTTGTGCATTGTTTTTATTCCTGTTCCTGGGAATAAGAAATATATTTTTGATTATCTATTTAGGTGGTGAGAAATGTATTTCAATATCATATTTTGTACTCGTTGGTTAAAAACTAATAAGATTTTGCAATATATTTCAGCATTTTCTTTTGTGTTATTCTCATTGCTTGTTAACAAATTTTTGCATAAATGATGGATGTGGCACATGATGGTATTTATCCCTACCTCTGTTGTTTGTGATTCCTTCTCTTGAGTTGTAAATTTAGTCTATTTTTGAATCAACAGGGCATGTGTTTCAGCCTACCTACACCTGAGGACCCCTTCAATGACAAAAGTGGTAAACCAGATCCTGTGAAGAACAAAAAGCGCACAGATTCCAAGAAAGAAAAGAGGGTTGACAAGAAAAAGCTAGCTCCAAATAAAAGGCCAACTGATGTAATTCATGCAAACATGAATCAAGAATGCAAAATAATGCAAGTTGAGAATTTACAGACTGCACATACAATAACTGAAAAGGCTGCCATGCTACAAAAGACAGCACTCCCAGCTGTAGGAAATAGAGTATCAGATGATGCTGAAGAAGGGGACAGTTTTGAGAACTATGCAGACTGTCCATCAAAGTTCTTGCTGTTATGCTTGAACACTATTCAGAATGCTATGCTACATGATGGAGTCTCCAATGATAAGGGTGGCAAGCCATTTTTTGCTCATTCATGGGGGATTGAATTTTGGAAGCGTTATTCAAGTGGAAAAGATATCTTAGATACACGTCAAGCCCATTCTTCTATTGAGCAAATTGCTTGGATTGCATCAGCTGCTGCTGATACTATAGCAAAAAAGGAGAAAGAAGGACTATCATTGACAAACCCCTTCCTTCTGTATCTTGTTCCCTCTCAAGAGAAAGCTGCTAAGGTTCTACCTTCTCTCCTGCAATTTTTATTACTTTAATGTCAAAGAATTTATACAACCATGGTTTAAAGATTCTAGATCTGTTCTGCATTTTATGGCATTTATTACCAGTTGGATCCATGAGATGAATTGGTGCTTTCATGCAATTTAAATTATTGATGGTTTTAGTAGTATTGGTGCTTATCATGCAATTTATAATATAGTATATTTTTGCTAAGCTGTCAAGAATGGTCTCAAAAGACTAATTTTCTGACTACTTAATATTGAGAACCATAAGGACAAGAAACAATGTTACGTGGCATTTGAAACTGTTCTTTGTCATTTTGGGCATTCTGCTTATGGCTATGTCTTATTTATGTTTGGAATTCGGTGGATGACTGTCTCATTTATGTTTAGGTACGCCAAATTTGCAAGCCCTTGAAAACACTTGGAATTCATACGATCAGTTTGCACCCAGGTGCTTCCATGGATCATCAAATTCAGGGGTCAGTATAATGTCCTTGCTTTCTCCTTTTTAGGTTATTGTAAGGCAATATACTTTGTAGTTTGTACAGCCCACGGCCCACCTGTGGTAACCTTGTTGATTCCTATCAAATTAGATATTTCCTTGTGTGTAAATTAGAGATTTAATTAAGCATTTCTTAGCAAGTATATGACTTGTGATAATTTCTTGCTAGTGTTTATAACAAGATTTGGTGTTTTGCTGAATATTATCACCTCTATGATGGGCACAATCGTATCAGTGTGACTCGAGAAATAGAACCTTTTCAATTGCCTTGTTTGCGTAATGTAGAGTAGTAGCTTTTTGAACTTTTGTGTCTCTGAGCAGTTGGTAAAGATGGTAGTTTTCTAGATGTTTAATGGAGAATCATGGTTTTTGAATTATCCTGTCTGAACAAATAGCATAGATGGTAGATTCGTAATTTGTTTCAGCAGATCCTAAAATAGTACCAATCACTTATTTGCTTAGAAGAAATATGTGATCTATTGTGCATGCCATTACAGGTCAGGGATCTCATTGCTACATACACATTTAAGGCTCTTACTTCCTGTTTTCTTTTGTACCTCATGCACTTTATGCTTGCTTCTTGTACACTTCCAATTGGAATTTGTTGGTTACAGGCTGAAGAGTTGTGAACCAGAGTTTGTTATTGCCACACCTGAGAGACTTCAAGAGCTTGTCTCATGTAACGCTATCAATATCTCGGGGGTTTCTCTACTGGTAATAATATTTTCTTTTCCCTTTGCCTTTTCCTTTTGCCAACCATTCCTTTAAAAACCTCTTTTACTTTGATTCATCGTCACAGGTTGTTGATGGACCGGCTTATGAAATTGGAAGCCTCGACGTAATTAAAACCATTGAACAGATTATTTGTGGGAGTTTACAAACAGTGGTTTTCAGTGGGTGCTCAAGTAATTCTTATATTTCAATTTTACAGAAGCTTATTCAGGGTTCATTCTGCAGAATCCCCCTAGAGTCCTTGACACATGAAAGATGAAGTTTTCATTTTTGTGTATATATAGCCTTTCTAACACTTGTGCTCCATTGAGGACTATTGAGGACTTGCCAGAACTCCACAGAAGTGCTGTTGTTTTCCATGACCTTCCAAAATGTTATAATCATTATTATTAAGTGATTAATTAATTCATTAAACTCATTTAAGTGTTCTTTTGTTTGGGTGGTGAAGTATTTAATCAACAGAATGTCCTAAGGGAAAAGACTAATCTTGCTTTTAAGTGGAAAGATATGCATCTCTTTCTAAGTCTCTTCCTTCATATATGCGTGAAGCTCTCTCTATACTTCTATACGCAATCATCATTCATTATTATTTATATAAATAATAAGAAAAATTGTACAATGTTGTTCTGCACTAGTACGAATAATTACTTAATTGTACCATATATATATAATTGGCATCGAAAAAGTTTCTAATAATAAATTTTTAACGAGTTAATCACCTTTTTGGTTATTTAGGGACCAAAATGGTGATTTTCATATTTTAAAAATTTCATCAATTTGGTTATGAAAATGTTTAATTGGCGAAATTTTAAATAATTTGAAACTAAGGATTATATTAACAGTCTGATAACAATTGAGAGACAAAAAATAGTGATTTTCCCAATTAGAAAATGTATGCCACTAAAATTAGGTAAAAAAGAGTGAAGCTCTCAACCTATAGATTAGAGATTAAGTCTGAGTACACATTTGTCTTAGATACAAGAAATTGTTGTAATATTTGTTGTAATATTATAATGTAGTATTTCTTATAAATTTAACAAACCTAACAAGTTATAGCAAACTTAGGATAATTGGTAAGAGACTAAGAACATCCCCGAGACAGAAGAAAAAAATTTAATGACTAGTGCATTCTCTTTAAAGTGAATTCAAATTAGTCTTACAGTGATAAAAGATACCAAAGATTAATTCAAAGTATAAATTTGTGACTCTAACTAAGCTTGTAGGGTTAGAAACTTCATATTCAACCACATTTTTCATAAATATATATGAAAAAAAAAAAAGGTAAAATCTCATTTGTGTCATCCAACATATCAAACGTAGCAAAAAAGAAAAAGAGCTGCAATGCATTTTAACCAAATTAAAGTACTCAAACATGGTTGCAGGTATTTTGAATGGCAAGAAAGGAGATTGGTTGGTGGGCAACCACGGAGGGCGGTCCCAAACCAGACAGAAGAAAGAAGTACAGTCATGCAAATGATGTTTTTCATCTGACCTGCAATAATCTCCTAAATCTAATCATGAAAATAACAACACAAATGCAAAGAAGAATTTGGCATGTGGATGAAGCTTCCATATTGGCTTAGATCTGCACCCATAGCTCTGATCTCCTGCATTCTTTCTGAGTCGTCACACATTATGACTTTGCTTTGTATAATCTTAACTCCAAAGTTTGACCAATCATTTTCATGGCAACACCCACAACTAATCATTTGTATATATGCCCCTACCAAGATCATACATCTATCTCTTTCTATTCCGGGCTTTCCTTAATCACTTCCTTAATGACAGTGATTACAACCCTTTAACCTGGGGTGATTGAGTGGAAGGGACTCATACATCCTTAATCAAAGGTCAATGGTTCGATCTTTGGCTTTGGGTATGGAGCAGCCTTAAATTTCCCGGTCAGCTGTCCCACCCAAAAGAGGTATCTACAATTCAGCGAGTGGATTAGTCACTGTGTCCGATGGTGAAAACCATGAATACACAAAAAAAA